AGATAGATAGATAGATAGATAGATAGATAGATAGATAGATAGATAGATAGATAGATAGATAGATATAGTAAATATAATCTTTCACTACTGTGGGATCAGCATTTAGAAATAAAATTGCTGGGTTATAAGATAGCTGTCTGTTTAGTTTTTTAGAAATTGCTACCTTATTTCCAGGGTCACTGTAGCATTTTACTTCCCCATCAATAACGGTGTAAGTGATCGTACTTCTCCACATCCTTGTATGCATTTGGACTTGTCACAATCTTTTATTTTAGTCATTCTGATAGGTTAATAGTGATATTTCATTGTGGTTTCCATTTTAATTTCTGTAATGAGTAATCATGCCGAACATCTTTTCATATGTTTATTTGCTAGCTATATCCATCCTCTTTGGTAAAATGTCTGCTCATGTCACTTGCCAATTTTCCATCTGAATTTTTTGTTTCACTGTAGAATTTTCTAATTTATGAATTTTCCAATTTTATGAAGTCCAACTTACTAAAGTTTTCCTTTATAGGTGGTGCTTCTTGTGTCAATTCTTAGTTAGCTCAATGTCTCAAAGATTTTTTTTCTCTGAAGGTATCATTATTGTATGCTTTACACCTGAATTCAATTTTTTTAATATCTATGAGGACATTAACATTATCTACTTTATATTTGGTGAGTTGTGACTGTTTCTCAGCAAAGGGATCCATTTCATCTATTTTGCTAATTTTTTCTGTCTACAGTTGTTACAGTACCGCCCTCTTATCCTTCTGTAATCTCTAGGATCTATAGTCATATTCCCTGGTTCATTCACGATTGCAAATGTGTGTTTCTTTCCCTTTTTTGGCAGTCTTCCTAAAGCTTGGCCAATTTTATTAATGTTTTAAAGAATCATCTCTTTGTTTCATTGCAAATTCATTGATTTCTGCTCTTCTTGATGTTATATCCTTCCTTCTGCTGGTTTTGTATGTTTTGTGCTTATTTTCTAGGTTCTTGAGATAGAGTATTAGATTATTTATTTGAAATATTGTTTCTTTTGATGTATATGAATTGAAGTCTACAAATTTCTCTCTCAATACTATTTTAGCTTCTGTTCAAGCCAGGGATAGGATTACAAAATCAAACTTAAGAATTGGTGGACAAATTACTCAGTCTCTCTAATCCTGGTCTTCTGTTTTGTAAAATGGGACTTACATAGTACCTATGTGAGGTTTAATGATAAAATTCATCTAAACAACATGTTTAGTATTTTTAAAGTATAAGCATTATAAAGTATAAATATTTTTATGAAAAGAATAAAATCCTTGAAAATAGAACTGTCCTGTGGCTATACTAAAGCAACATGAAAGTCAAAACTATCAAAAATTATCTTCTATTTCTCTCTTCTCTCTGATACTTGATTTGTTTCTGTTCCAAAGGTTGCCTTGTAAAGAAACATCAGTGCTTCTTTCCTCAGAACTCCTGATGGATACTCCTCTCATTTTCTTTAGAGAATCATCTGAAAAGGAAGGAAGGGGGAAGGGAGGAAGGGAAAGAGGGAGGGAGGGAGGAAAGGAGGAGAGAGGAAGGAAGGAAAGAAAGAAGGGAGGAGGGAGGGCTGACTCTAAAAAATCTCAGTAAAGAGTTCCTTGTAAAACTGTTCACATATACATGCTTAACTCACTTTTTCTAAGAGAAAATAAATTCAAGAGAAAAGACAGACTTTTCAAAATATCTGCTAAGTCATCAACAAAGAAACTTGCAATTTAGAGTCATTTTTTCTGAGAAAATAAAGTGAAACATAAGATTTAAGGTTTAAGCTAAGTCCTATTTCTAAAGTGATTACTCTTGAATAAATTAAGTCAATTCAACTAATTATTGAACTTTAATAACTTACCCGTCGAGCTCAGCAGTTTCAATATAACAGAGGCCATGTGGCTCACTACTTGACAGTAGAAGCAGATCAGCCTATTTAAAAAAGCATATTAAGAATACTTGAGAGGTCATAGCAGGAATATAATGGAACAGGCGAGAAAATATACCAGAGACATTTTGTGGGGGTGGAGTGGGGAATGGGATCAAAAACAGTGGGAGGAGAGAAATGCACTGGACTGTGGTGATGGTACATGGATGATTTGGTGATGGGAAGCCCAAGGGGATTGCAACTGAGATGGAAAAATGCATAAAAATATGTAAAGATAAACTACTATAAATTTTTTAAAATATATGCAAAAAAAGAATACTCAAAAATATGTAAAAATAAGCTACTATAAAATTTTTTAAATATATGCAAAAAAAAAAGGAATACTTGAGAGGCAAAAATGGGCGAAAGCCTTCCATATCATATCACCCCTCCATTACTGATAAGCCAGAGGGACCTTAGAAAGTAAACCAGAGGTGAAATCCCATCCCCCTCGCCACCATCTGTCATGAACCCCGTGCTCCTTCTCTTTCCTTGTTCCTGCTGTGCAGCCCTTGTGACCATCAAAACACAAGTAGAGGCAGAGGTTAGTCCCAAAGTTAATAACCGTGTCATATACATTTTTACAAGAAATACGTAAAATTCAATTTTCTTGTTGTGAGAATTACTGATGGAAATATAAAGCACTCCCTAATAAAGACCATAACTACAAATATTTATATGCACACTAACAGTGTTGGTGAAAAGCCAGGAACAGGGAAAGGAGATGAGCAAAACACAGTGAAGTCAAGGGAGGAAAATGAAAACAGCAGAAAAAGTGAAAGACAAAGAAACTTCAGAAAGTAAGAGAAGTTCAAGGAAAACAAAGTTTAAAAGATACATAAGAAAAATGGTGGAATGTAAGGAAAGAGAAATAGGAAAATAAAACAGAAGTTAAAGAGGGAATAAGCTCGAATACACAGCATCATGAGAGATAAGAGAAAACACTCAGATCAGTTAATATCTCCGACACAGAGAAATCATTCTCTTTAACTACTTCAGCTTTGGAAATCACCTATCATAATCCAATTTTTGAATTGTGGTAGCTTTCTCTGTCAGAAAATCATTTACTTCAAATTTCAGAATTTATATTAAAATAAGGGTTTCAAGAAATTCTGAAGGACTTGAATGTCAAGATCACTAAAATATTAGCAATTTATTTTGATCCATTAGCCTAACAATTTCTAAATATATCTGAATATGTGATTGGCATTCCAGATTTCTAAGATTTTCTTATCTTTATTTTTTTAATATATCGCAGTTGTCCCATTCTAAATTGTCCCATAACGCTGAAGGATAAAAGCTATCCAGCAAGAATATTTTACCCTACAGAGGGTCTCCCTGATGGCTCAAAGGGTTAGATCACAGCACTATGAAGCTATCCACAGCCACTGCAGTACGATTTCAACCAGAGCTGGCCCACATGGCACAGCAGATCTCTCCTGTCTTGCTCGCTGCTCCCCTCAGCACTGCACTTCAGTAAATCTGCCTGTTCTGCTCCCCACTCTCTCTCTGGTTAATTCTCTCTCCCCTTGTACCTCAACCTGTACCTCAGTTCTTGTATGCTTAAATAAATCTTAAAAAGAAAAGAATATTTTACCCTACAAAATGATCATTCAATATAATGGAGAAACTAAGCCTCCCCCCTAAGCAAAAGAACACAAAACAAAATTTTGAGCAAAGTGATAACTACTAATGCATAACAATAAACATAAACAAGACTACTATGAGACAAAAACAAAATATCAAAGTCACCCTCAATGTGAAAGGTCTGAACTTGCCAATCAAACACCACCAAGTGGCTGGATGAATTAAAAAGTTAAGAGGTGTCGGCCCTCCCTGGTGGCGCAGCGGGTTAAAGCACTGCACTGAGAAGCTAAAGCCACTTCCACATGAGTTCGATCCCCCCGCACGCCCCGGAGGTGACCACATGGCGTGGCAGACCTCTCCTGACATGCCCGCTGCTCCTCTCAGCAGTGTACTTCGTCGATCTGCCTGTTCTGCTCCCCACTCTGTCTCTGAAGCCTCTCGCCACCCCTGAGCCTCTGGCCTGTACCCCAGTTCTATATGTACAAATAAATAAATCTTTAAAAAAAAAAAAGTTAAGAGGTGTCTAAGTTATACGTGCCAGAGACTCACACGACCTGAAAACAAACATAGACTGACTCCTAGTAAAACGTTGCAATGAGGTATTTCAAGAACTGCTATTTTCACACATGATAAATTAGACTATCAACCAAAAACTGATAGATACTATATATTGATCAAGGGGTCCATCCATTAAGAAATATATCAGCTATGAATATTTATACATCCAGCATGTGTACCTAAATATATAAAACAATTATTAATGACCTAAAGGGAGAATTGATAGCAATATATAATAGTAGGGAATCTCTGATGTCAATAGCTTGATCTTCCAGACAGAAAATTAACAAAGCACTAGTGGCCTTAAATGAAGTAATTGTTCAGATGAAACCCCAAATGCCCCATCTTGATTTTAAAGAGGAAACAGATGTTTTTGAAAATTCACCTTGTTTTTATTGCTCACATTTCAGTCTTAATGAATATGTTAGCAACAAATATCATGCTTTTTGTGTCTCTTCCTTTGACCTTGAAAGGATCATTTTAAATGAAATTCAGAATTCTCTAATTCTTATAAGGTTGTGTTGTGCTATATATTAAGTGTAAAGATACCTCTTTCTACCAGTGCCTAGTGTTGTTTTTTCTCTACACTCTGCATAGTAAGAACAATGCCCTGTTGCTATTTATTAGGCACTTACATATTTCTGGCCAGCAAGGGGAGGACTCCACTGCACAACTGACTCAGGACTTGACCACAGCCCCCACACTGGGCTCTCCTTTGAGGAGTGACTCCATCCAAGAGATGGAAGAGAGAATCACAAGCCTCATTGAGTTGTGGGCTCACCCTTCCTGATCTTCCTACCCCTGGGAACCTGAAATACCCACCTTCCTATCTCCGACCTTTCCAGACTCTTCCTGTCCCCTCCACATCACCTTTATCCCTGATGTCCTATGAACCTTCTTCCTGTTTTCCCACACTCTGATTTCTGTCCTGCCTCCTCTCATTCATCCTTTGCTCTCCTAGTCCCACCATCAAGCCTTGGTTTTTTCATTTTGCTTACTCTTCCCTTAGAAGCTTTTTAGTTCACTACAGTTGAGAATGAAGCATAAAGAGGTAGCACCAGCAGGGAAATCCTGCAGAAGAAGTGGCCAGTCTACTCATCATCATGCAGCACCCCCCCACCCACCCATAAGCAGGTATACTTGGTAATAATTCTGAAAAAAAGGGCAAGAAAACTACAGAAACAGCCCCGTTAGTCCCTGATCACCCTTTTATCAGAGATTCTGGAGGAACAACTTGTAAGAGGCCTTAGGACCCCACCAACCCCATAATTCTGTGAGTCTCAGATCAAGTTTTCCCAAGCTGATTCCCTTACTGGGTCTCAGAGGACACAGTTTGTACTCAACCCAGAAACTGGGATTGGAGCTGCATATTTTTATAATACCGATCATTAATATTTATGTTTACTTTGTCTGACACTATCCTGAGGTATTGCATGCAATATTAGATTTAACATTCACAGAATCCCTGTAATGTCAGTCTTATTGTTATCTCCTTAACAGATGAGCAAAGTGAAAGGCCCAGAGAGTTTCAGTAACTTGCTTAAGACTGCCTAATAAGTGGAGTTTCTGGCATCTAATCTAAGGCATATACTGCCAGGAAAGAGTAAAAATCTTTTTCCCAAGAACTTTATAGTATTGTAAAGGTATATAAAAACAAAATGCTATAGAAGGAGTATGAGAAAGAGAGAGAACACAGGGTTGATAGTTAGGAAAGGACCTTATGGAAAGTTCAGGATGAATGGATAGCAGAGACATTAGGAGGAGCAGAGAACAAAGAAGGGAAAGAGTGATTAACAGAACTCAGGCCAGGCAAACAGATCCAGCCAGAACCATCTTCCTCATACCCCATTTATACTCCTCTGTCAGTTATTGGCACCTTTATCCCTATGCTCTGTCCAGAAAGTCTCAACTATGTTCTCCATGACACAGTGTTTCCCAGCCCTTTCCCCAACCTTCCACTAACAACACAAAGCCCAGGGCATTGCCTGAAACAAATACTCCAGTTAACATGAAACTTGAACAGAGCCCACTGAGCACATCTGAATCATAAGAGCCAAGGACACTATTCTCAAGCTTAATTAATGTTTGTTGAATTTAAAAAAAAAAAGTAAATTAAACAAACCCTCAAGTCATGATAACACCTCAAAACTGTATAATTATTTTAAGGGCTCATTAAAAAACTTTTTTTCATAATTATGTTACTTTATTCTCCCCACAACCCCTGAGGAGGGATACTAACCATTGTGTGGATAAGAAACCTAGGAAGCTCATCTCTGGTCCCACAAGTAGTAAATGAGATAACTAACATTGCCCACAGCTTCACAAAGTCATGTTGAGAGGTTTATCATATTGAATTGAAGAACCAAGATTCTGAGAGACTGAAAGCCATACTCATGGCCATATGGAGCTCAAAGAGCAGAGCTGAATTAGAACTCTGATGCCAAAACTCTTTCCTGGAATGGCTACAAAAGCAATGGAATACAACTATGAGAAACAGAAAGCAGTTTGCTTTGTTTTCTTGTTTTGTTTTGCTTTGTTGGTGTTTAAAAAACCAATACCACAATGATGAAAGAATATTGGGATATTGTCTCCATAATGGTTGGGAAGATCTGTCCATAATG